AATAATTTTTAGGCAGATAGTAAGGGTAAAGGTTCTCAGTGGAAATTTCCCCCTAGTAAAAAACAACCCCTGCACCATCTCTTTTCTCACAGAAAAGGCAGCTTGCAGGGCAGAGCTGGCAAGCTTGGCAAGCAAACGAAGTCCCTTAGAAACTGGGTTCATTCAGTAAGGCAGTTCCCGCCATCTTCTCCTTGTCACCAGGTGTACCAAGAATCATGGCCCCTCCAGACGACACCATGTGTTAAAGTCACGTCAGCAGTCCAGGTCACAGATCCTACCCAGGCTTTTTCCTATGCACGTCTTCAACCTTGGCAAAATAAATAAATCTCTAAATTCATTGAGACTTGTCCCAGTCATTTTCTTTGGTTTCACGCTTGCATTAAAAAACTGAAAATTATATGTCATTATGTTCTTGTTTATTATCTATCTTCCTCACCTGACTGAGAGACTCTTGGGGCAGAACCGTATCTGTTGTGTTTTCTGATGGACACCTGTGATCAGCATGATCAGCATGGCATGGTTGCACAGATTTCTGTTAATTAAAAAAAAATCAATGCATTTACATTAATTCTCTTTCTGAGCTACTGATTTTATAATATATATCTACCAGTGACTTTTTGTTTAATTATTATAATGTTAAAAATACTTAGGATAAGATAGAAACATTTTCCTTCCATTCTAATTTAAAATTTTTTATTATATGTGTGCTTTTTTTCACAGCTTGATAATTTCTCTGTTATAGTCTCTAAAAATCATACTGACATTTTGATTAGTATGAAAATTAACATATACATTAATTTTTGAAGTAATTCTTATCCTTCTAATACATTGCACTTTCATTAAGTATCACACTATCTTTCTCTTTTTATTCAAATATTATTTTAATATCTCAGTGGAGTTTTATGTTTTAGAAAATGTTCCTAATGACTAATTTGTTGCTAGGCTCATTCAAAGGCATTTTATTTTTAAGTTGTTATTGTAAATTATTTTAACAGTTATATTTTGAATTGTTTATTGCCAATATGTGAGAAAGGATTTGGCCTATTTTCCTGGTTTAAGTTACATAACTAAACTTTTTGTATATTCTGATTTTAATATATTTTGTAGGACTGTTGTGGGTGGACTGAATGACATAAGTATATAAAATGGTTAAATTAGCATATTTTACACATTATCAGCCTTAATAGATAGATACTTCTCTTTTTCCTCTCCTTGTCCCCCTCCCCTCTTCTTTGTCAAGAGGCAGAATCGGTGCCTGTGCGTAGAGAGGCCACTTGCCCACCTCGTGCTGCTCATTCTAGTTCCCGTTGTTTCCGATGGTATCACATGGGCTGGAGCATCAGAGGTGTTTAATTAATAGTGCTTTTTCATTATAACCAGTCTAGGGAAGCATCTTATAATTTCTGGTTTCTCGAGGTGTTTTTCAGGAGTAGATTTTAAATTTCATCATATTTTCCTAAGTGTTTTAATTTTTGAATATGGTTCATTATATTTACATATTTCCTAATTTTCTATTGTCCTTAGATTTTTTTGTTAGTCACAGAGTAATTTTTTTAAATGTTATATTGACTTAGGTTTGCAAGTATTTTATTTAGAGTCTTTGAATATATCACAAATAAAAAAGAGAACTACAGTCTAATTCTTTTTTCTGTCAATTTTAGGTTTTAATGTTAGAGTAATGGTGGCTTCCTAAAATGAATAGAATTACTTGTTCAGTGCTCAAAGATCAATCTCTCTCCCCCCACCCCCCCGCCTCTCTTTCTCTCTCTCTCTCTGTGTGTGTGTGTGTGTCTTTTGTCTCTCTTACACTTTAGTGAAAGACTCAATCGTATATCTATTCGACTTAAGACTTACCTGTTTCACTGAACCTAAGATACCATCACTATCACTGTTAAAATATATCATTGTTTATATATTAGTGAGAAGGAAGAAAAATGCTACCTATTAGACTGTGACTAAAAGAAATCTTACCAGTTAGAATTCTACTTTCTACTTATTAAAATCTATTTGGATCTCTTAAGAAACAACTTTAAAAAATCATATATTAGGTTTTCTCATGTATGTACACATATGAATAAAACATAAGTAAAATAAATCTAAAGTTCTCTTAACTATTTTTCCCATTGAGCTCTATGCTTCTGAATCTCTTAGATGCCAGATCATTGTCTGTGTAGACAAGACCACCTATCAAGAACAGCGACAGGGCAGATGAGTGAGCAGATGTGCCACCATCTTCTCAGCATGTCTCTTCCTGGTTGCAGATACCATTCTGCAAGTTGCGCTTCGCATACACGGGCAACAGCAGCCCCCTGCTGCCAGCCCCCAGTCCTCCCTGGGTGATTTCAGCTGCATCCCCACTTCAGAGGTGTCAAAGTTGACGAAAGTTTATGTCTCAGTACAACATGAACTGTGGTGTCTGATTCCTCTCCTTACCTCACCCTCCACATTCAAGCAATTAGCAAGTGCTTTTAATTCTGAATCAAACCATTTATTTTTTGTATTTATTATAGCTCCTCATCTCTGTCCATTCTCACTGCCACCCTCTTGGTCTAGGTCACATGGGCTTTCATCTGGATGGCAAAACAATCCTCCAGGTGTCTCCTTTTCTATCCTCCAGCCCCTAAGGCCTTCACATGGCAGCCCAGTTTTCCTAAACCCCTCGCTGCGACCCTCAAGCCGCTGCATCTCTTCTTCCTCCCTTGGTGTAGATGCCATATTTCATTTCCTCAGAGATCCTCAGCTTCTTCCAACTCTTGTCTATCCATGTGTTTCTCTTACATTTCTGCCATCAGCTGCATATTCCCGTTCTCAGGTGTCAGCATATGCATCGTGTTTTCAGAGATATTTTCCTGACTCTCTTCCTAATTTTCTGTGCCCTTGCTCTTGTTATTGTCTACTTCCAAGTATATTCCAAGAATAGTGTGTGGGTGGTGTGTTCTCATCCTGTGCCCCTTGAGGATCTCCTCCTCTTATCTTGTCTCACGAATGTCAACTGGGCAGAGGACAGAGCCTCAGGGGCTTTCTCTAGCCTCATCATCTAAGGCATCAGTCCTCAAACATTTGGGAAGCATCAGGGACTGGTTTTGTGGTCAGTGGTGGGGGGATGGTTTTGGGATGAGACTGTTCCACCTTAGATCATCAGGCATTAGCTAGAGTCTCATAAGGAGCTCATAACCTGGGTCCCTTGCATGCTCAGTTCACAACACAGTTTGTGCTCCTGTGAGAATCTAATGCCCCAGGGGATCTGACAGGAGGTGAAAATCAGCAGTAATGCTCACTTGCCTGCTGTCACCTCCTGCTGTGTGGCTCAGTTCCTAACAGACCATTGACCAGTGCCAGTCTGTGGTCTAGGGGTTGGGGAGTCCTGATCTGAGGGGTATGCCTCTGTATGACAAGGCAGCCTGTCATTCCAACCTGGACCTGTGAAAGTTGTGGAATGATGAATAATTCTGGTCCTCAGCACACAACTTTGTCTGCATGTTTTTGATCAGCTTAATCGACTTTAGAGAAATGCGTCATCCCCCGTTCTGTAAAGGCATCGTGTCTGTGACTTAGTCCTATGACCCAGCCAGGCCATGGTTGATTTGACCAGGGCTGGGAACTGGCTCCAAGTTTCTTCAGTCCATTGGCTGGTCAATGACTAATTAATATACCTTCCTGAGAAAGTAGTTGGAAAGAGATGGAGAGAAGAGAATTACTCTGCAGTGGTAATTTGAGTGGAAATTAGCATGGAGTTAATATCAGTCAAGGAAGCGTGAACGCAGAGTGAAAGCCAGAGAGGATCAGATGGGAAAGAGGAGCGGATCTGGGGAATGTGGATAAGAACACCTTTATCTTTGAAGAGAAGGAAGGAGAGAGAGGGGGAGATGAAGAGAAAGAGGAAAGGGGAGGAGGAGGGTGGAGGGAGAGCAAGGGGGTGAGAGAGAAACTAACAAAGCAGGAGGCACCTCCTGGATCACAGACATTGATTCCTCTACCTCCTTCTTCACATCCCAACTAGCAACAACTCCTTACAATTCTGTTCCAAGTAACATCCAGCACATGTATGGAAATGGGTGTGAGCATATGTCTGCACCTGCCACCTCCCTCTTCTCTCCATGTACTGGACTTCATGCCTCGGAGACCTGTGCATGCTTCGACTTATTCTTTCTCTGGGCTCGGCTGGGAGTGCCTCTCAGGGTCAGGAGGTGCACAGCGCCCAGGCCCACCATGCTCTGAGGCCCGTTCCACGAGTCCTCTGGCTAGGGCCCCACAGGCTCAGAGAACCAGCCAGGAGGTGAATTGATTTGCCCCCCAGAAATCTCTCTTCTTCACAGCTAAAAGCCTCTTGAATCATCTGCCGAGCCCTTTGCTCTCTGTTCCTGCCCACAGGATTCTACCCTGGGCGATCACACCTTCAGAAGAGACTGCCTCTCGTTCCAGCCTGGCCCATAGGGAAAAGTAGTTTCTGAATGTGGATAGACGCACAAGGGCAATAACACACAAGGAAGTGAGCAGGCTGCAAAGCCTTCGATGCCTATGAGGTAGGGTCCCTCAGGAAGGGTAGCTGCCCTACCTCGGGCTGGTGTGGACACCACTTCAGAGCCGAAGGCAGCTCTGGAGGGTGGACACTGTGTCCGTTTGTCTTCCAAATGACAAAGCCAGCACGGCTCACTCATTTTACTCTTTCATCCATTTTCATTTTCCTTGGAGTGAATGGAAATTTCTCTAATTGAGTTAGCAGATGAACTCAGCTTAAGGGCTGGCCTTTGTTTTGCATTTATTTGTTTCATGAATGTGAATTTAGTTTTCGTCTTTTTATGCACTCTCATATCTGCTTTACAGGGATGTTGGAAGGGCTATAGCGGGTACTCTCAAAATCATATCAATTTAGACCAAGACCCCAGAGTGTCCTAATGTATCCCCTTGAAGGATCTGGCAAACTGTATTCCCTGGAATGCAAGGAACCAGCTCATGATGCTGTCTGTTCATTTCACAACTTTGGAGCCATTTTAAAAGTACATACACATTTTTAAATAGGCTTCGTTTATTAGAGACATCAAATGCTGGTTTTTTTTCTTTTTTGAGACGGAGTTTTGCTCTTGTTACCCAGGCTGGAGTGCAATGGTGCGATCTCGGCTCACCACAACCTCTGCCTCCTGGGTTCAGGCAATTCTCCTGCCTCAGCCTCCTGAGTAGCTGGGATTACAGGCACGCGCCACCATGCCCAGCTAATTTTTTTGTATTTTCAGTAGAGACGGGGTTTCACCATGTTGTCCAGGATGGTCTCGATCTCTTGACCTCGTGATCCACCCGCCTCGGCCTCCCAAAGTGCTGGGATTACAGGCTTGACAAATGCTGTTTTAATGACTTTCTCCTTTTTGCTTGCTTTATGTAAACCAAACACAATTCATGTTGTAACCTAAGTGCTCCTTTTTGTTCTTTGTAGGCATTACAGAGCATATCTCAAGTTCCAAAATCTTGCATAGTGTCAAAGCCAAAATTGCACTGGTCACAGTTAAACATGTCAGGAAGACTTTTGTCCAGGCTCCTGCAATAGAGAAGAACAGTTGGAGTTCAAATTGAACTCGGCTCCACTGAAACCAGTGGCTGAAGAGGCAGAGCTGGCAGGAGGCGTCGTAGGCCAACTGCGTTTGCTCCTTGACCTTACCTAAAGGAAAAGCACATTTTCTCATTTCTTTCAGACAAGAAGTAGTTTTACAGCTCGGAGTAAGGTGCCCACTAAAGTTAGTTCCTACCCTCCCACAGAAGTGAGGAGATAGAGTTCTATTTTCTGAGGATTACGTTTTAAAGCCATGCCTTCCAGAGCATCTAGAAAGACCATCGTGGCTAGTGAAACCGGCAGGAGGCTTTGAAAAAGATTTAGATCTTCCAGGGGCAAGACAATGATGTGTCTTTAATGATGACAAATGAAAGGAAGCCTCATAGAACAGGGAGATCAGGGGCTTGAGTTGGGAAGAAACCTGCCTAAAGTCAAGTCAGGTTGAGGGGAACATCAGGCTGTCTTGCTCAACAGGAAGTCATCCAATGCCAGGGCAGCTAGAGAGGGATGAGTTTCTTAACTACTGGTGTGTGTTTGCGAGTGTGTGTGTGTGAGTGTGCTTTCCTTTTGAACTATGAGGGCGATAGTGGCATCACAACTTACAGGAAGCTGCAGAGGAGACTCCTGGCCACAAGCAAAGCCCAGTGCTGCCCGCGAAAGCTGGCACCATCTCAGGCAGTTTATGTTGAGCCATCAGGTGACAACACTTCCTATAAGAAAAAAGAGTGGGGATGTCACAGAGATGCTCTGGGCACACAAACTCAGTCCTGAGTCTGCGGTGGCCCAGAACCATCCCTCAGGGTGGGGTGAGGTGAGCTGGCCAGCAAGGGGCCAGGACACCAGCTTCTCCCTGGGTCCAGAAGCTTCTGTGTCTGCCAGTTGCTCCAAGCTGTCCAGATGTACGATGCTGTAGTGTCTCAGATAAGACAAACAGCAAGAGGTGGGAGGAGACCAAGTCTCCATTTCACTCTGGAGCTGGAAGGGAGCCAGCTGCGGCAGCCACCCTTACAGAAAGGGCTGCCTGGAAATAATCTGACAGGAAATCTATGACGTTTATTAGGTCTGTCATGATCAAGAAGGCATTTTTCCCCTTTGTCTGTTTTCTGGGCTATCTCAAGCATCTTTCTGAGAATAAATAGCCCTTATCTGTAATAAGATCCGACAGGCCATTAATGCATAGAAAGTATGATATCAGTGGGGAAGAACAGGTGTGTGGGTGACAAGAGTTTCTTGACCCTAAAGCCACTTTCTTTGTGCAAACCAGCCTCCTTCCATTCACACAAAGGCAGTTTCTCAGCAAGTACAGGAGAGCTGTTTCCATCTGGCAGGGGAATCTGTAAGAGAACTGGCTGCAGGACAAAGGGGACCTGGGGTCACCACGCAGAGAAAATCGCCCTGCACTGCATAGAGGCTGTTCCCCCGGATCCGAGGGAGGCCGGCACTGGGAGACTAGGGAAAAGAGAAAAGAGAAATAAGAAAAATGAGTGGCTGCCGTAGCGGCTCCGTTGGGTTGAGGCAGGAGTGACGGAGCGCTGCACTGGTCTGCTTGTGTAGTGTAGTTGTTCGGGTCGCCTGCTGCTCCTTGGAGTGAGTTGGCCCTCATGCCTCCTTCTTGCAGAGTGATGTGGCCTCTCTGGTAGCAGCAGACCACAGCGCCAGCTGCCTCGATAGCTGGTAAAGCCCTCACTATCTGCAGGAGAGAATTTGGGTTTCCCAGGGCTGCTCTGCTCACACAAATGGTCTCTACTCATTTCTAGATTCTTAATCTTGTGCAGAGGATCACTTTCTGAACGGTCCAGGAAGAGGTGCGCTTGTTAATGCTTCAGAAAACAAAGTTTAGGCCCAGCATGGTGACTCATGCCTGTAATCCCAGCACTTTGGAAAGCCAAGGAGGGTGAATCACTTGAGACCAGCCTGGCCAACAGGGTGAAACCCTGTCTCTACTAAAAGTACAAAAATTAGCTAGGTGTGGTGGCATGCACCTGTAATCCCAGCCACTTGGGAGGCTGAAATATGAGAATCTCTGGAACCTGGGAGGTGAGGGTTGCACTGAGCCGAGATTGCACCACTGTACTTTAGCCCGGACGACAGAGCGAGACTGTCTCAAAAAAAAAAAAAAGAAAAGAAAAGAAAGAAACAAAGTTTAGTTTTCTGATGTCTTGTAGAAGATGGTGATTCCTGTTTATTCGTCTATATCTAACTTAAATCGCACCTCCTGCTTGACACTTGAGGCTTTAATTTATATTTTGGCATTAATCACAGCATGTCTTCTATTATATGTGAATATGTGTATGTTTCCTTTAAATTCTGGACTTATAGAAGTTAGGAAATATATCTTATTTCTCTTTGTAACTGTTAAAACAGTGACTGCATAATGAGTAAGTATTGCATTATTGTTCAACTGAATTTACAATCTCTCTGTCGAAGGGAATAATAATGGCAACAATATTCCTTATACAACTCTCTTCAAATATTAATATTTCCACACTGGGTATTGTCAATACTGCATCCATTTAGTTATTTTTCTAAAGCCCAGGTGTTCCTTGTGAAGCTTGCAGGGCAGGAGTGGATAAGCTCATCCAGGGCATATTAATCCCCAGTATCATTTTTAAAATAAGTAGCAGTAGTACCTAATATTTAAAAGAAATAAGGGTGCTATCAAAAACGGATCTCACCATGGCAACATTGTATGCACTGACGCTGGTTAAGATGGTGCTGCTGTCCTCCAGGGAGAGATGACAGCAGCCTGAGCGGAGACGGTAGCAGTGGAGGGTGGGGTAGGTGTGCTTAGATGGTGGGAACAGAACCCATAGGATTTGTCCCCGGATTAGCTGGGGACAGTGGCGGTAAGGAAATAAGTCGCTTCAACTCCTGCCCCCGCCAAAGCCAACCCAGGGCTCACTTAAGTTGCTTCTGAATGAAGTGACCTGGATAGAAGGTAGGGGCATTGCCGAAGACATGAAACACTGGGGGAGAAAATTTTGGAGGAGATATTTGGGGTTGGATGTGATTTAAAGGCACCTGTGAGACATCCCAGCAGACAAGGCTGCTGTCTGTGGTTGTGCATCTGGGAACTCGGGAAGAACTTGGCTAGGAGAGGGAGGGATGCCTCAGTTACCAGCATCCACAGAAAGAAGAGCCCCTTTGAGGAGCATCCAGTTACATGTAGAAGGTTTCATTCACTGATCAACAGAGAAATAAGAAAAATGAGTGGCCAGGAGCGGTGACTCATGCCTGTAATCCCAGCACTTTGAGAGGCTGAGGTGGGTGGATCACCTGAGGTCAGGAGTTTGAGATCAGCCTGGGCATCACAGGGAAACTCTATCTATACTCAAAATAGAAAACAGAGCTGGGTATCGTGGTGCATGCCTGTAGTCCCATCTACTCAGGAGGCTAAGACAGAATTGCTTGAACCTGGGAGACAGAGGTTGTAGTGGACTGAGATTGAGCCACTGCACTCTAGCCTGGGCAACAGAGCCCAACTCTGTCTCAAACACACACACACAGACACACACACACACACACACACACCAACACACACACACACCCAAAGTTAGCATCATTTATTAAGATTTAATAAAATTTTGTACAGTTAAGAAGTTTCATGAATTCCAGATCAAGGCCTTCCTAAATATTTGTTATAAAAATGTCACGGCAAAATACAAACCTTATATTCCTCTTTTGGCTTTCTTGTTTTATAAGAAGTTGCCCAGAATCAGAGGCTCATGATCAATGCCACCTGCTGCCTGTAGCAGGCTGCCCATCTTCATGAGGCTGATGACAGCCTGACAGCTGCTTCCTGACCCTCCTGCCCCCAACCTGTGGCTCCCTGGGGCTTTCTGGGGCCCAGGAGCTGAAGGTGAATTGGATGAGTTCTTCTGGACACGTTTTCCCCCAGTATTCTCTGCCTCTGCCTCTGCTCCCCACTCCTCTTCTTGCCTGTTGCTGTCCTAAGTCAAGCCACACTGTGTCTCTTCTGGACCCTAATGTATTTCACCCACTCCTCCCAGCAGTCCTGAGTGAGTGCATCGTGTGAGCTTTTGCAGCACTGTGTCCTTCTCTGACTTAGGACCATAAGCACTCACCTCCAGTGCCACCCCTTACCTTGCACTGGGAGCTCCGCCCAGGGTCTCCGGCTCCACTCCCACCTCACCCCATGCCCTCTCCCTGATGGGCCCAAGCCCTTCGCACTCACCTTTCTGGGCTGTAGTGGCTTCTGCACTTGCTGCTCCTCACCCTGGAGGCTTTCTGGAGACCCAGAGCCCCGGCTGACTCACTCTTGTCACTCATATCTCAGGCCAGACACCATGGCCCCAAGAACCTTTCCTAGATCCCTGTCCTGAGGTGGCATATCCCCACCTGCCCTTCACTGTCATATCCCTGAGGACTTATTTCCTGCAGCCCTTATAGACAATTGGACTTACCTGCCCTCGGTTGTTTACTTCCTTGTTCTTTGCCTGCTGTGACCCCAGCTCCATGGAAGCAGGAGGCGCCTTGTGACACTTGTTCACAGCGGGATCTCCGATGTCTAGCAGAGTGTCTCGTGTGCAGCCAGCAATTCATATT